TGGGAGTCCTTTGCCGTCAACCACATCGGATCCTGTCAACCAGTCTCAATCGTCTCCAAGGGTGACATCCTCGGCGATCGAGGTCGAAGACATTTATCGCACGTCGAAGTCAACCAGGCCGACTTTTCGAATCGCTAAGGCTATTGGTCTTTATCCACAGACGAATACAGCCGTAGTGCCTGACAGGCAGCAATCCGTCACTACTGTCGCCTCGTTGCTATTAGAACGTGGAGGTACTGCTTCTGGAACGAGCGTTCACGAGACAGTCGAGCTAAGTTTTCGCAGTAATATCTCTAACGTCGAGCCGCTTGGCACGACGATACCGCAGCTCGTCGCGGAGAACGTCGAGAGAACCAGGAACTCGACGAAGAAGGAGAACAGCAAGATCACGTGGATCCTGACAACTAACAAATCGTCAGGTAGACCGAAGTACGATCAGGAGGAGAGAAATCAATCTAGCGTCGCCAGGAACGTTAGCTTCGAGGAAGTCGAAGATCTCACCGTGCTACCTCTTCAAGAAGAAATGTCGAAGGTTGACTTGACGTTAAACAGGACAAGGTCTTCCATCGTAACGTCCTTGTCCTCGACCGGAGCTGCTAGTAGTGCTGCAATCAGGACGTTTAATCAATCCGAGGACGAGGTTGAGATCGACGAAGAGGTGGCTCAGACGCAGCATTTCGCTACAGCGGCGTCTATCCTTGGAGGTAAACTTCAGAGAGAAATGTGTTACAGTGAATAAAAATGAGAATGATCTCGACAATTAATGACCATAATGTTATCTCGCGCAAGATAGAGAAGAGAATCGCATTATATTTTAATTAAATTGTTTTCACAACGCCGACATTGACCTCCTTTTTCATATACGCTTACTAATTGTATTTTGGTCTTTGATTAAATTTAACATTTTAGTAAACAATAGAAGTAGAATAGATGTAAAAAGTTTCAGAATTAGCTTGGTTTAGATTTAGCGATAAGAGAAAGAGAGTTGAGTACTTTAAACTCTTTATAATGATCGCATGAAACAAATGTGCAGTTGGCGAGTCCACTCGTCTGAGCAGAGCGAGGAACACTTTCATCACGCAGCACTTCCAGAGGGATCAAGTGCAAGAAGACAATCAGCCTTCCGATTATAACGACACTGGTAATAACAGTGAAAGCACTGAGCAAGGTTCGACGACATCCGCTGCGGGTATAGCTGCTATTACAGGTAGCTGTTTAGCGACTGTGGCCCTGCTCAGCACAATGGGTAGTCTCGGATTCATTATATACAGGTAATGTGTCGTGAAGTCGTAATGTGTATTAATTACATTCTGCGTTCACTAAAGCATTTGTTCATTAATTCCTTTTTTCAGGCGCAAGTACTTGAACCCTCCGCAGACATTAAACAGTGATAAATGCAGCAATCCCGATAGCTCCGGTTATATCGATGATTCTACTATTCGCGTTAGTATTACATTCATAAATATTTAATGTGTATTAGGATTTATTAAATTAACCATTCAAATAAATCTCTATAATACATTTATGTTTATTAAAGAATACTTTTATTTTATTTATATATTTTATTTATATTTTTAATGTATTAACATTTTTCTTACTAAATATCAATTAAAAGATAGAAATGATAATAAAATTCTGATTTTGTTAAAAATGTTATATAAAAGAAGTATTTATTTTACTTGCAGGATAACTCGGAGGAAATGTACAGTTTGGATAATGACTCGTTCCTAAATTCGCTAGAGGCAATGACAATACAGAATTATTGGACTGACAGTGTAAAGCATACGAAGCTATGACAAAAGAAGATAACCCATCCCGGAAAGAGAATCGAGACATTTAGCATTTCCGACGGTGAAGCACATGAGCAAGTTTCTCTGCTTGAGCAATAGTACTTACACGTCCGAGATACCGTATTCTAATTATCGTGCAGCAAGTTTTGTTGCCCGATGTATATCTGGAGGCAGTGAGAACATGCAGCGTTTGAGAGTCATTAATCAGTTTTGATGGGCTGCATCGAATGTTAGTTACCTTGGACGTTATTACTCTGTACGACGTAAAAAAATTATAGATCAAAATTGCGAATTGGCACGTATCTGTCATTTCGCGACGTGTTGATTTATGTCACTTCTATCGTTCCTATATTTTTCTACGACGCATGCGACCGGTAAAGTCGCGCTTAGGCGGGAAGTGGCGGAATTATCCTTAAATATATATATTTCCATTAATGATATATAGTGCAATAAAAATGAAAATTGATGTACTTTATTATTAAATTAATATAATAACATTATTCTAGAAAAGTAAGAGTACAAATAAGGCTATATTAGTTCATAGCTAGAGCATTTGCTAAACTAAAAGAAAAATTAATTTAATTAAAGGATATTGAAGTAATATCCCTAGTATTTATAGTACAATGCTTCCAATATTGCGAATTGGAACTCGTATGTACAATATTGTACTTACTAATGGTTTTTAATCTTGGATTTGAATGCCGGTGTCTTCTACAGTTTCACTTTAAAATTACATTACAATTGTGGTGATTAGCTTTGGCCATATTGACAGTCGCTTAATCAGATAGCTTAAATATTTTCGAAGATCGGATTTACGGAAGATCGGACCAAATCGTACGTAGATCTAGCTTTACGCCTTTACGACATATCCAGCAAAAATATTGATTCATGTTTTCCAATACGAGAAATCTAGCTTGTACCTATGTACATACATACCATTGTAACGTTTTATGTATAGATGTGCAAATATTGCAAATCTGCCGTCGCGTCAAGTGAGGCGTGATTAATTTTAAGTAGCGTTAGCGTTTACCTAAATATATTTCTATACATTCGAAATGGGGGGGAAAAAAGACAGAATCCATTGTGATAGATCGTAGCGTTTAATATGTGTAAAATTATCTTTGGCTCGTTTATGGTAACGGTTGTGAATAAACACGTTCATGTATTATACACATTCCCGCCGTCCCTTCCTTTATTCGTAATCTTTATTTTTAATGTGATCCAATTGTTCCGACTTGAATTGACAATTGGACAGATGCCCAAATTTTTATGCCAAATTTTTATGACTTTTAGATTTATAACGGTTATTTTACAATAGAGCGTGTAATATAAAAAAAAATATATATATATTTTTTTATATTACATATATACACATATGCATAATTTGTTCCAAAAATTTATTTAAATAAAAGCACTAAACCTAATAAATTAAAGGTTCTGGATTTGTAATTGTAAATGTCTTTGATCTAATCGTTGTCGTTATAAAATATTTTAATAACAGTTATCACAAAAATGTATTTAAAAAAAATAGAGATAAAAATTGAAGAATAGTTTATATCATATAAATGATTTATTTCGTTAGTACGTACATTTGCGCCAGCACAAAAAAAAAATCGTATTTTATAAAATGAAAGTAATGCAGAGTTTCTTTTCCGAGACTAGACACATGCGTCGTAGGATCCCATTACCAGTCCGTCCTTGTCCTCTTTTATGATTGATTTTAATTTTCTGTTGTTTACTATACGACTTGCACTCTCCATGCTGGAAAGGCAGGACGCGACAGTGGCATTGGAATCCTACAGTCAACATTTTCCCGACTAACGCGGTGCTCCTTCGATTTCTAGGAAACGTTCGACCGAATTTCTTCAGTAGCAATATTATTCCGCTGTAAAAATCAATTCTGACCTCCAATCTCGCAATAAAAACAGCGCTCGAATTTGTATATCTTTTGTTATCAAATGCTCGTCGAAGCTGCTTTTTATAATAATAATCAGAATATTATTAACGCTGTACAATAATAATAAAATTTTATTATGAATCTTTTGGTCAACTGGAGTTTTAGCTGCTCCAAAAATTCGGTCTACGTTTCTTATTACTGTATCGAGAGCCTTGTCCCGAATTATGTTTTATCATATTCACAGGGCAGTGTTAGAAATATCTGAGTTACACTAATACGTAAAAGGCAGGCACTAAGTGACTCCGCAAGCTTCGGAGCTTGCTTGTGAGCAAAGAAATCGAAACTTGATGTACACTGCGTTTTCTTTCTCCGACGTTCGACCGAAAAGTTCCCTCGGCACGGTGATACTGGCGGATTTAAAGATAAAGCGATGCAACGCAACATTCTACTTAGTTTCTTTTCGCGAGCTCGTTCGTGCCTTAAATCGGAGTAAAGCTGTAAATGCAACGAAACATGCTTAGTATTTAAAAAGGGAAAGAAAAGATATACTTCGAGATTCGAAATGATTATAAATCTGTAAATTATACGCGTGTATCATAAATCGCAATCGATGCTGCCTCTGTTATCACATTTGAGATTTACATCAGCTTTATCGCTGTCATCAACGTGATTTCCATTCATCCACTTTGATGAAACAATTGCGATATGCAACCTAGCAAACGAATATATAACTACTATATAATATAGATGTAAAGCATGTATATTTACGTATATATTATATACCAGCTCTATATTTGCGTTTGCTGAGAATTTACTCACTCTCTGCCATATATGCCTCAATATCTTAGAATGAAAAGAAGTCTTATACCATATATATATATATAAATATAAAGGACCGCTTGAAAGTATGAAACTTGTCGAAGTGAAGATGTTGTACTTGTGGTTTGTTAAGTACATACTAAAAATAGATGATAATAACGTAACGCCAATCACGACTCTTGTACGGTTTCACAAATTTTCTCTCGCGTTTTACATTTCGTTACAATTTACGTTGCAATTCACGAGCTGGTGACACGAGTGCGTTTCATTCTCGCGCAAAGTTTACAGGAAAAAGAGTTTGCTTGTAGTATATATCATCTTCGAAAAATACAGAGATCATTTGTCGCGATGACAACGTAAGTGGATGACGCTTTCACCAACCAGCGATATAAATATATATCCCATTGCTCTTAAACACTCGGAAATTTCACGAGGAAACTTAAGGTCTCCCTTTACCTTTTGCAAACGCATCTTGCGAAAGAGTCGTACGCGAGCGCGAT